TAGAAGAGCTCATAATAACTCTTTTCAACACAATAGACAGCGTATAGACGGTGTACAGATACTAAAGTAAAATCTGTCTGAGGTGTAGAGCAAGGAGAAAGAAACATTAAATTTTCGCATAAGTAAGGCGACGCTATTGTTTCTTCTCTCATCAAAAGATATATCTGATAAATTCATGGTAGTGTATTTATCTTTCTTCTGCTTTCTTTTCGGTAATATTCCTCACAATCTCAACTGTCAATAACTTCATGTCTGCTAGAAAGAATACAAGGAATAAGGGTTGAAACAAGAGTTAAAAGCGAGAAGCAAGAGTGACTAGTAGTAAACCAGGAAATATCCTCTCGAGTTTAGAGCTGAATCCTAATAGCTATGAGTAGAAGAATGCGTGAAAAGCAGTTGAGGGCGATTTGCTTGCGTTCTATTATATGTTTTCGCGTTTAATGTGTGTGTCAGGTCAATTTGTAACTACTATGGGTTTGCATAAAGAGTGCCCCTGACTTTTTTTAGTATAACCTTTGATATTAAGTTTGTGCATATTGATGATTCTGTATCTATACATGCGATTAATGTGTGATAATTAATTATAATTTTTGGCTGAGCTGGATATAACTTTTGGCACGTTGTTGTCTCGTTCCCATGATTTGTACAGGAATCGGTAGATTTCCGTGAGGTATTAAATATTCTAAAAGGATTCGGGTTGATGACTCTTGAAGACACGGTTTTATGAACTACTATTTTGCGCAAGACCGATCTCACTATCTATTGTGGTTCTCGAATGGTAGGTATTTTATCTGACCAAATGGTAATGAATTTCGGGTGACTCAGGAAAATGCCTGCCACTCGAGAACCACAATAGATAGTGACGTTGGTTTTCTGCAAAATTTTAGAGAACACTTTGGGCTATGTAGTCACCATGTTGAAATTAAAAATCCATCGCAGATTCAGAATCTGGCAATCTCATCACTTCTCATCAGTCAGGTGCACCGCGTGAAAAACCAATATTTTTAGTACCAAATATAGATGAAACAGAGTAAAGCCTTCTCTACAAAATGCTCAAAATCGGAACTTTCTATCTCTTTTCGTTTTCGAGCTACTCAAAAAACACCCATGGCCACTCTGTTGAGAAATCCATAGTAAATACCCCAGTTGCTTAAAGCCAAGTAAAAATAAGTGTTTATTGGTAACATTTTGAAAAGAGAAGTACAGAGATTTGTAGCGCTTGGAAATTTCTGTCGAATGACGTATTACATTACCATTTCCAATAAATCGTTAATTTGTAAATAAAAGTGTAACGCACCAGAGTGATATTAATTAGTATTTATTAGCATCATTAATTATAAATTATTTTCTTAAGAAAACTTCTTGTAAAACGTTTTTCGTCAGACCATAACAACAGATCATTGGCTATCAAACCATGCAAGAGCGACATTTCTGCAATCAGTTTTAACCGAGCTACAAGCTTTGCAAAATACGGACTAGCCATCCAAAGTCTAATTAAAATTTAAACTAAATTAATTAATAACTCTGGAAAAACTTAAGGATATATATAGTCAGGTGTCCTCTTTAAACTGGAATAGTTCTAGGACACATATAGGGGGAGGGCTCCCCCTTAATGTCTCCTTATTTCTGTAGCTATGGGCTGACAATGAACGTTTAGAACTTTTCTTGTAAATTGTATAACTTTGTAAAGAAAGGTCGTATAGAGTTGGGAGATGTCTCATTTTAATCAGAAACTTACGAGCTCCAAGCATACCTCATCAAAAAATGGTTTTGATTATTACTTCTTGAAAAACTGTTTTTTCAGAAAACCGGGCCTTCAAGAGCCACGAATCCGAATCCTTTTAGGATATTTGCTGCCTCATTGAGGTCTATCGATCCGTACATAAATCTTTGGAATCGGAGGGATACATCTCGAGAGGTTCCCTCGTAAGTGGCTTTTGTTCAGTAAATGAATTATCTAAATCGAGTGCTGTTATTTTCGAGTTACTTTTATCATCGTTTATTATGGATGATGATGATACGTTACTTTCATGATATACATTGTTTCTATCAGTGTAGATATAATCATAACTAAAATTGGATGGTTCAATAGAGTCACATGGATGTTGTTCATTAATTCGATTTGAATTATTAATTGAAAAACATTGCTGATTACCATTTAATGCTATTGTATTATTAATTCTGCGATGTTGACTATTTGATGTGTCATTAATTTTACTGTCATATACATTTCTTGTTAATACTGATCTGTCATTAAATAAACCTCGTTGTTGCTGTTGTTGTAATAATAGACAATCATTTTTCCAGTGCCGCCCCTAACAAATAGGACACGGACTCGGAGGATTAATTTTTGATGTTGTTGGTGTTGCATTCCGATTTGTATTTGAATTTGAATAATAATGCTCATTATGATGGCCGTTGCTATGGTTGTGAAATTTGACGTTGGATCGACAGGTATTATTCAATTTCTATTCATGAATATTTGAATCGAAGTCCACTAGAATAGGATGTAATTCTTCTAATGACGTATTAGGATTGATCCGACTTAATACAAACATCTTAACATTTCCGGATAAATCATCTACAATATCATTAACCATTGCCGCTTCTTCAACATTTTCATCAAATACTACGTGTAATAATCTTCATTTTGCAAAATAATAATCGTTCACAGATTCATTGTTTGTGAATGTACGATATTTTAGATCATGTAATGATTTTATTTGATAATTAGTTGGTCTAAATGCTTGCTTTAACAGTTCTTTCCATCCTGCCGATGTTGCTAATGTTGACCGTTTGGTTTCAGCTAGTGTCGTAAACCAGGTAAAGTATTATCTCTGGAAACTGATGGGGGTACTTTCAGTAGTTCTTCGTCTGTTGTATGACTATATTGTTTGATAGCTGAAGCTTGTTCTACCTATTGATCTATATCTTCACGTTGTCTTCCATGATACGTTGGTAAATCTGATGCATTTAAACGTATTGTTGATAATGCTGGGGATGGCATTATTGTTGTATCATGAAGTTTTATATTTGGTTGACGAGATAGTGAAAACTGATGTGTAAGCTGTGGTTATGGTTGTTGAATAATATGAAATAATGTCGATTGTTCCGAGTTGCTCAGTGTTCTGTGCTGTGATAAAAGTTTATTCAATAAGCTGTAGCTGAAGAGAACCAATTGTTTTCTCTGGTAGTCCTATTTGCTGTTTTAGAATGTCATAAAGTCGTGTAACTGTTGACTTTACATCTTCTATTTTTTCTTGTTTGAGTGCTGAACTATGCAGCGCTGTTTGATTTGATCGTGAACAATGTATTTTATGAACTCTTGGGTGTGATTTATTATGATGTATTTGAGTTTTGTACGACATACTGTTGACTGAAGAAAATCACGAGTATACACGAAGACATCAGAATGCGCCGCACCTTCACCAAAAATGTAACGATATCTTTTTGTTTACCTTTATCTCGAGTAAAGAGAAGACTTCGATCACAAAAGAAACTAAATTCGGACAGGTTTGATCATTAATTGTTCTTAGAATTGTCTCATTCGTTCTCTAAACTAGACTATTTCACTTTTGCCACAACCAGTGGTATGGCGTTAAACATATTTCAGAATATTTGGAGTTTCTCTCTCTTTTCAATTCTTGCACTTCAACTCAAGAGTTCGGCTACCGACCAAATTGTTAAAATTTCCATCACAGGGCTGCGAATCAGCGAACACAAATGACGGAAAATATCTCCATTGAAAAATTGGTTTTTCAGAAATCCCAGCCTCGCGAATCACAAAACAACATGTTTTTCGTTTAAACTTACCAGAAAAATCAACATCACAAGACAGCTATTAACCTCGGAGCCACAAGCGTGCTCGGAGAAACCGAGCCTTCTCTGAACGACCATAGTTGGAGAGCCGGGACTTCCAGAATTTCGTAGAGTGACGTTCGGACTATCTAGGCACGCAAAAAATTGCTAACATTGTACATTAGGTTTCTGAGCTCGGAGCTGGTCTACCGAAGATTCTCTGGAAAGTCGATCTTTGAAACTTTTTCGAAATTTGTTTCTGCTTATGAAAACGTCCGCCAAACCTGCCTACCGATCAGCGAAAACCCGAGGTCTCTATCTAATGTCTATCAATAGTTACTCAAATAATGACCAGGGCTCTTGTATTTTGGAATCGATAGCGGATGGAAAAGGGGTTCTTAACTAGATGCGCAACTACCAATAGTTAAATCGGTCGATTATAGGCTCTATATACTCCAGGCTTTCAGACCTGCACACAAGACTGTGGACAGATTGATGTGGCAATTGAGTACACTATTATATTTCTCTGTCTTTTCAGCAACTTCAACATCGACACCGACCGCGCCCACTACAGGTAGGCTTGTCTTGCGTAGAAAATACATCAGTCGAAATGCTGTCGAATGGGTTTAATCTAAGAAACTAACGTGAACCAAGAGGCGTGTGTTCAGCAGAAAAGTGGGCTGCATTTTGAGCTGACAGCTAGACAAGAACATGAATCTCACTGCTCTAATTCATCGTTACATGCTCTCATTTTTTCTAGCATCAACGCACACTACGGCAACCGCTACCGCACGTAAGCAGATTTTTCTAGGTCTTACACAAATGAGCTAGTACAGACAACGCAATGGCAAATATATCCCACCTGGTAGATGCTATTTGGCAACCCGCAGTGTCAGGAGCCCACACACAGACTCGATCTATTTAAAGAACTTTTACCACAGTAGTAGTTAATAGTAAAAGTTTAAAGCTTGCGGAGGTTAAAAAGCACCCCCAATAAGGCAGTCCTGACTCCATACAAGTGTACAGTTCAGAAATGAAAGGATGCAAGAACATATTTCAAATCATAAAGTCATAAGCTCCTAATACTGCTGTTCTCTAACGTACAGAGACTCGGAATATGTCTACTCACACGCGATCATTTACCGTATGATATTTATATTCCTAATCCTACTTCTCGAAATATTCGAAATTTTTTGCTCGAAAAACGTTACGAGGGACCATGGTCAACTGTCCAACTCCGATTTCCACTTTCTTTTTGACGTTAAGCACTAGATCGGCACATGCTCTCGTTTTCTCTGGCATCAACGCACACTACGCCAATCGCTACCTCAAGCAAGCAGGTTGTTCTACGTTTGAACTTTCTTTTTGACGATAAACACTATACAGTGCCATACTGAAAACCCAGAAAGGCTTTGGAGGTATGACGCTGGTTTCACACGTTAAGGACTTTTCTATTATCCCGGTCCACAGCCTTGCCTAAATTTTAAAAAATTCACAAAAAATTCTTCGTCCAATACCGTTTCTGAAACTTGTACACGCATAGTTAAATATAGTTTTCGTTTACACTTACCAGAAAAACCCACATCATAAGACAGTTACCGACTACACCGATGAGTATGCCATCAGATTACCCCAGCTAAACCCACCTGTGGGGAAAATCTAGACACATTTCGTCTGTCAGCGAAGGATACACAAGTAGTACTATCCATTCAAAATTCAAGTGCCGGCTATCCAGCTATCATCGTTGTGACAGCGCTCCCTTATCCCGAGCACGTATCTTTCTTCGAGAAAAAGCTCTAAGTACAAGGGGCCGCTTTCTCTATGAGGTTTTTATAATTACATTTGACATTGAAATTTTTTGCTCGATAAAACTTAGGAGACACCATCACCAGCTGCTAAACTCCGATTTTAGCTTACTTTTTCACGATAAACACTATGTAGTGTCATACTGAAAACAATGAAAGGATTTGGGTGTATGACACTCCTTTCAAAGATTAAGGACTTTTCTATTATCCTTGCCTTGCCTGAATTTATGAAAATTAATAACTGCGTCAAAAGGCATAGTAAAGAGCTAAGCTGTTTTCCTATTTCACAGTTAGATGTTTTCTATTAACACAAAATAGTTCAGCCGCAGACAGATAATTCATTCCTGAGTTGTAGGATGTTTCAAAAGTCCTAAAGGAATGTGTTTCACATGGACAGACAATTCATGTCGTGCCAACAGGTGCACTGAGACAACATTCATTAGTTGTAGCGGGTTTAAAGAACCATTTCTTCGCCCAATACCGTTTTTGAAACTTGTAAACATCAAAACGCCATGTAGTGTAGTCTCAGGAACATGATGGATTAAGAGGTCGATTAGCAAATATAGTTTTCGTTTACAGTTAGCAGAAAACCCACATCATAAGACAGTTACCGACTACACTGATCAGTATGCCACCAGACTACCCCAGCTAAACTCACCTGTGGGAAAACCTAGATAGATTTCGTCTGTCAGCGAGCGATACACAAGTACTAGTCATCTAGATGAGTACTAGCCGTTCCAAAATTCAAGAGATCTGGCTGTTCTTGAATAACTGTGGATGCCAATAAGATAGAGACCTCCGATTTTCGCTGTTCGGTAACCAATACTTGGTTGGAAGTTTTCATGGGTGGAAAGAACTTTTAGAAAAGTTTCGAAGATCGAGTTTCGTGAGGCTCGTTAATAAACCAGTTGCGTTTTCAGAATACTAACATACAATATTAGCAATCTTTTTGCAGGTCGTGATCGCCCGGACGTTACTCAATAAATTATTCAAGTCCCGGCTATGCAGCTGTCCTAGTTCGGACAGGACTCCCATTTTCCCGCGCACGTTTCTTTCTGCGAGGAGGCATCACTGGGAATCTCGAAATCGACACGGAGTATCAGTAATCGACTAAGCTGAGCGTAATTGGTGACTTTTGTTTCCGTGTAGGGCTGAGTATAACTTAATCCGAGGCATTTTTGTCACAAAGCCGTTTTTCGCCTGTTACTAATAAAAATTCAGATTCTTAAATCTCCATCAGATTTCCTGCTTACTCAAGGAGCCTTTCAGTAAATAGTTAAAAGGTCCCATTTTTTTCTGATCACGGCGAAAACGTGATCCAGCACAACACTGATGCTTTGAAGTTTCTCAAAAGAGCTCGACCAGAACTTGATGCTGACTCCTCTAATTCATCGTTAGATGCTCTCGCTTTCTCTAGCATCAACGACATCTACGGCAGTCGCTACCTCAAATAAGCAGGTTTTTCTACGTTGTAGACAAATGAGCTAGAAGAGGACACGTAATGGCAAATATGCCACAGTGGATGCCGTTTGCCAGTCCCCTTCGTCCGACGCATGTTTGTACTCTCCGTTCTAAAATACCAGAGCCCTCTCCATTATTGAATAACTGTGAATGCCAATGACATAGTAATCTTTCTACAGGCCGAGATAGCCCGGACGTTACTCGACAAATTAGGCAAGTGCCGGCTATCCAGCTATCCTCGTTCGGACAGGGCTCCCTCTTCCCGAGCACGTGTCTTTCTGCGAGCAGAAATCTCTGGGAACCGCGAAATGCCGAGGAATATCGGTAATCGACTACGCTGAGCATAATTGGCAACTTTTGTGTCTGTTCAGAATTGAGTATAACTTCGTCAGAAGCATTTTGTGACAAACCCGTTTTTCGCCTGTTACTAAGAAACATTCAGATTCTTAAATCTCCATCAGATTTCATGCATACTCAAGGAACCTTTCAGGAAATACTTAAAACGTCCCATATTCTCGTGGTCACGCCGAAAAAGTGAACCAGCACAACACCGCGGCTCCTCAGAAGGCTTCTGGGAAACATTAAAAAATACCCCGCTCAAACTCACCGTTTTTCTCTTCAATTATGATTTATGAGCTGTCCTGAGCGCTTCCTACAAATTTCCTTCAGTCAGCATGACATTTGATCGAGATTTAAGGATTTAAATTTTTCCTAGTAACAGCCGAAAAACCGCTTTTAGTTTTTTCCGGCAGAGTAACTTCATCTGTCACGTCGATTACTTCTGCCTTTCAGGTACGACCAAGCCTGCATGCGCATCAGTATATGACACGACTGGTTTGAAACTTCCAATTAACCCGGATGGTTCAACGATGCTGAACTTTCCATTTGGTATATTCATTGATGCGAATGATGTCGTTTATGTGGCAGACAGTAACAACAATCGTGTTTTGACGTGGACGCAGGGTGCAAGCGCGGGAACAGCGATCATTCAATCTACACAACCTCAGGGTGTCTATGTTGACAGTAGCGGGCATGTCTATGTTGTTGCGAGGGATAACTCAAAATATATATCTAAATATCCACCAGGCATCAATCAAACTGCAACATTAATTGGGCCGATTTCAAATAGCAGTGACAGCAGCTATGCAATTTTTGGCGATCTGGCGGGTAACTT